CTAAAACTTATAACTGTTTAGTATCTTTATAGGTACAAACTAAGTTGGGATTTTAGTTTTACAAAATGTTATTAAGATAAGTAAATGAGGTTTTACAACATTATTAATGCCGTTCTGTTAAACTACTTAAGACCTAGTTTATTGGCTATACTTATGAATTAAAAAGAAACTTCTATAGAGACCTAATGATTGATAGCAAGTGAACCCTTAGAAACAAACGGTGAGAACCAGGATACCGTGAACTCCTTATAAAAAGTGTGTATTCACAACCCTACCGGGGATCAAACTGAAGCCCTTAGACTTGTGCGTACTCTCGAATCTCTAGGTTGTGTAATTACTAGTGAATAACTTCTAGAGGTAATTTGAAGAGTCCTAGTGCAAGGCTGCGATCAGCAAAGTTAGACCATATCGAGTGTGAAACGGTTATCCACTGCAGACAATGAACGATTGATGAGCAATATCGTAAACTGATTGAAGTTAGTTATGTACAATGGTAGATTCTGGCTCAAATGTTTAAAGAATAAACGCTCGCTGAAAGACCAGGTTTTTTAAACCATAATACTGACCAAATACTGACAAAAACGTTTCAATATAACTACTAGTCTAAGTGACTTGACATGTTGATGTAATCTTCTTGAAATTAGGTAGTTTACAACAAGCATCTGAGAGTTGGTTGACTAGTTTTCTTACCAAAAGGAGTTAAAAATTAAATTAATCATAAATATTTGGTTGGTTCGTCCATAAATTATAGTCTTGCCGTAGTAGTAGTAGTAGTAGTAGTAGTAGTAGTAGTAGTAGTAGTAGTAGTAGTAGTAGTAGTAGTAGTAGTAGTAGTAGTAGTAGTAGTAGTAGTAGTAGTAGTAGTAGTAGTAGTAGTAGTAGTAGTAGTAGTAGTAGTAGTAGTAGTAGTAGTAGTAGTAGTAGTAGTAGTAGTAGTAGTAGTAGTAGTAGTAGTAGTAGGAGTAGTAGTAGTAGTAGGAGTAGTAGTAGGAGTAGGAGTAGGAGTAGGAGTAGGAGTAGGAGGAGGAGGAGGAGTAATGATTGTCATAATAATGCTTTCATATTTTTTTAATTTCTTTCTTACTATAATATATTGATCATTTTCTAACCAAAACAGTAAATAAGCACATTGTAATAGCTAGTGCTTATATTAATACTCTACTTATCTATTCGCATTGAATTATTTTTTCTGTTTAACGTTTCTTTTTTTAGCGAGTTAGTTTTCTACGGGATGGGGTCGCTAACGCTATGCTCAACCCTTCTCCTTTATCCGGACTTGGGACCGGCAAGAACTCTAGAAGAGCTACATGCCGAGTGCTGGTATGCGACCTATGTTCCTCCACAAGGAGTCACAGGCGTCAGTAAATATCTATTATCGTAAGCCTGATTTCAACTTGTTCATACATTTGCATTACCATATTTTACTCATATCTATTAATTTATAGGATACTGTAGGTAAATATATTTTATATCATAGATGATTCTATCCTAATAATAAAGTAAAACAAAATTCTAAATTCCAGTCAGTCATTTAATTCATTAACTAATCTAAACTATTTTTTTAATGTTGATTTGATCATTTGCATTGTATATACATGAATAGACGTAATTGTAAACATCATCATGATCATCATCATCATCCTCAACCTCCTCCTCCTCCTCCTCATCATCATCATCATCCAGAAAGCTTTTTTTGATTTCCCAGCAGTTTATTCATAAAAAAAGATAAATACATTTTAAATGATTATTATTGTTGTTATGTCTATTGCGCAATAGACATTCATATTTGACATTTTATTAATAAAACGAAAACAGTCTAATCTATCAAAATTCATTTATCTTTATTCCCATTTTTCCCTTAAACACAAAGATTGAAATGAATAGACATTACTAAAGAGCAAAAAAAGAGACATAATTGTTTCAATGAGTAAGTTATTCAAACTAGATGAGGAATTTTACTTTATTCATTCATATGGGTTCGAATCCCATCGCGGTCGCCAAATTTGCTATGTTTGAAGAGATTAAAAGTTCAACTAATCTGAGAACGGAGTGAAAACTCAGTGACACGATGACCAATAAGCTAGCTATTCCTATGCGTCTCAGCCCCGCTAACTAGAGAGAGAAGTTATAGTTCAAAAGAGGGAAATATATTCTATAAGCATCCAGAACAACGTCAATAAATGAAATTCAAGCGTATATATACAACATAAAAATGTCATTGGGAAACACTACATTAATAATATACCAAAAGAGATAACGAGTCAATAGCATCTATGGTCCTTCTAAGTGGGAAATACGATATGAAGTTGAAAATAAGGCATTTATCAAGTGAGTTCTAGGAATCTAACATCTCCAACATTCATATTCACTTCAATAATTTAGGCAATTTACTCATTGCTTTTGTGTAATTAAACCATGAAACATAGTCACTTATATAAATGAAATAAGATTTACTCTTGGAGAGATTTTATACACATCATTTCATCAACAACAAACAAAAGATCACAGGAGAATAATTTGTAGTAGTAGTAGTAGTAGTAGTAGTAGTAGTAGTAGTAGTAGTAGTAGTAGTAGTAGTAGTAGTAGTAGTAGTAGTAGTAGTAGTAGTAGTAGTAGTAGTAGTAGTAGTAGTAGTAGTAGTAGTAGTAGTAGTAGTAGTAGTAGTAGTAGTAGTAGTACGACTAATTAATTAAAATATTCTATTCATTTCAATCATTAGGGATTCGCTTATTTTGTTGTTTATATAAATATATAGTTACATAATATACCCTTGTGGGTCAAAGTAATTTTACAACGGTTTTCAAGAGAACCAGACAGCACCTAGACTTTCACGTGACGACCCAAACAGCACGGCTCAATCCTGTTTAACAGGACAACAAGACGCTATCCAGGCTTAAATTTTATAACGTGAGAGGTACAGCTCAGTCAACCTTCACAGGAGAACTAGACACCTTATAGCCTTTAAAGCTGCAATCTGAATAGTACAGCTCAATCCTGTGGCGTAAACATACAGATCCCAAGCATCCTAGTGGACCATTCGCACCATTCATATACACATTCACGTCACATGTATAGTTATTCCGATCAATGATCTCGTGAATCAATTATGCACAGGGCGAACAAGGCAGAGTTGACCTATTCCGCTTACACGGCAGTCAAACTCATTAATATTAGCAATGGCGACAAGCTTTACAATGTCCCAATGACAATGGCTTTTGAGAACACTGAAAATCAACCACCAGTATGAATGAAATCGGTTAATCAGCAAACCAATTTTGTGCAGATATACATATATATGCATATACAGATATATACAAGCTATTATTCTTATAAATCTGTTTTAAGGCACTTTATGTTCATTCCATCAGTCATAACTCATGAATCTCATCTAGTTTCGATCGACCGTAACTGCTAAAAAGTAAATTGATGAGATTAAATTCAACACGTATATTAAACATTCTAATAGGTCGCCTAATTCATAAAGGGTGCAGGTGGATACAATCAACAAAATGTTTAACGAATAATCTTATATGTGATACACAGCAGTGACGATTATTCATTGGACTATATTTCAGGAACAAGTTATTTTGCTTGTTACTTAATCAGTATACCAGTTTCCTCTAACGGATAAACAAGGGTCTAATTCTTATTTAATGCTTTGTAATAGAACGTTAAATCTTTTTCTGTATATGTTAACATGAAACAATAAACTGAATGAAATAAACTAGGGAGAACAGGTGTTGAGTTGGCTTTGTTTTTCAGAAAAATTGCCAGCTAAAACCAGTTCTTTAGAAGCCCCTCTCCAATTTCACCGTTAATCATCAATCATAAGTAGCTTTAGAAAACTTCATAAAATTCTGGTGAAAAACTGTGGCCAGTGAGCACCATGTAAATGAAGAATGAAATAAGTATCGTTCGTAAATAGACATTGTGAAACTACAAATTAATTGCCTATAGTTTGTTTAGTAATTCAAAAGTCTCATAGAGGCCCAGTAATATCTACCGTCAAGAATAATATTGTCCTCAGCCTCATAATTTCTAATTATTTATCAACGAACTCAAGTTTGTTAGTAACATTACTGTTAAATAAGACGGTAATAGCAGGCTTTCTTATTAGCTGTTTAATTAGTAGTAATGTCAATGAGAAATTGTCATTCAAACAGTTGTATCAAGTGGCCCATTTCTTTTGTTTTATAAGATGATAGTAAAAGCCTATTCGATAGGATATTGAGGTCTTGCATTCAATTTGTAGTCTGATTATAAATGTAAATCTTTTTACGATAGTCTTAAAATCAAATAAAAATGTCATTCATTTATATGTATTGACATTCCAATGAATTTAAGTTTAGGACGATAGAACAGCTTCGTGAACTTTTCATCACTAAAATGATAAATATCGATTATTTGAATTAAATGGCCACTAAATTGTCATTTCATAAGTCTACTAGTCAATTATAGGCCGTAAGTTTCATATTTCTTCAGGGAATATCAACCGAAAACTTACCATGTAAACATCAAGTATATAAACAGTTGCTAAATAAATGGGTTCTTCGGTTTAATGTACTAAATAAATGTCATTAAACAATGAAGAAAATAATTCATAGTTAATACATTAGTTGGAATTGATCAATCTTTCAACCATATACAGTAATTGCTCTAAGTTCCGTAAATATGAGGACGGTTCATAGATGAATCCGAGGAAGGTCTAAACAGTTCAGAAAGAACCGAAGAATATTCCACAATCCCTATATGTATCTCCTTTATTAGACAAATTCTATATTGATAATTTCATTTTTATTCATAAACTATAAATAGTTGACATTTCTGTACCATAAAATGACACTCTATCATCTCATTTACGACTTGAAAGGGTTCTAACATTCGACTTCTCAAGTTATACATGGTATTCATAAGAAGAAACTAAGCTCTAGTATAATATAACAATGAACAATGAAGATAACTTATCAAAGATTCATCATCATATAATAATCATAACTTACTAGAATACTGTTCTGATGATGAGGATGAGGAGGAGGAGGAGGACGATGATCTTTTTAAACGATTAATTGGTGTATATATTCCACGTATAGAACAAACACGTTTAAGATTTTTTAAAAATTCATTACCACACATACGTATTGGATAATCCATCATAGTTACATAATCTGTATTGAATGATAATAAACTTTGTGTTGTATTATTCAAATGAATTTCTATAGATTTTTCAATGAGAAATAAATGTAAAAAGAAAACTGTCAAGATAAAATAAAATAATTTTTTCATTTTTTTTCTCTGTTTTTTTTCTTTTTTTTCTTTTTGTTGTTGTTGTTAGTTGTTGTTGGTTGTTCGTTGTTTTATATTTCGATATAGAATTAATTTTCTTTAAACATATGATGATATTAAAGGTAAGAATAGACACTAATCAACAACATCGAAATATACTTTGTAGTTTGTTTAAAAATGAATATTCAGTTCTTGATCCAGATCCAGATCCTGATCCAAATCTAGATCCGTATATATATGTATATATGGTGATTTATGTATGATTGTCTAGATCACCGTCATTAAAAATAAACTATGATTTTTAAAGTGCACAATTCATTATAAACCAATCAGAATTTCACTTTCAATTATTCACCTTAAAAAAGAGAAAAACAAAAGTATCATTAAAAGTCTATGTATTTGTACATAAATATGTCTGTTGTATATTCAAAACTGATTAGTCGTATGATATAAACTAACCTTTTTTAAAAAAAGTTCATTTAGTACGCAAAGTACTTTCTCTATTCATTTATGTATCATTTATCTTTGAACTAAATAGGCAAGTAGATGATGATCAGTTGTGTAATTGAAATGAAAGATACATGATTCAATTCATGATATAAATAGGTCAATATTAGGTGATCTGTATATTCAGTTGACGAAACGAGAATCTTTGGTTCTATTACTAATCACTATCGAAATTTGTTTTAATTATATAAACTTTGAAAAGATTAAATATCTGTACAAAGATAATTTCTCTTTAGATTCTACAATTCATATATTCAAATTAATAATCTAAAAAGTGACCATGTTAAGGGCAAATTACATCGTTTATAGTTACCGCATATAAAGCACTCGAGCTCGAAACTGATAGGTCCTGTGTTCGAATCCTGCGGTGTGGGATCGTGAATGTGAACTGCTAAGGAGTCCCATAGTGAGACGAAACGGCCATTCCGTGCTTTCAGGTTTTTCATGTTAGTCTAGCTTCAATCAACTTATGTACTCAATTATTAACTTACTATAATATCCATAGTCATACAAAATACAATAAAATTGTTAATGTTGATATGACTCATATAGAATGTTAACTTGAATCAGTTTATATGTTAAGCGGAAATTTAAGATCCATGATAAGAACAAATATAGGTCAGATAGGTTGAGTGAAATAATAGTGCAATTACATTTAGATCAAACGTTTAATGAAAGACAACATTGTGTGAAAAATTACTAATAAGAGATAATAAGTTGGGTCGAATGAGAAGTAAATGGTAAGATTAATAATGATGCTTAACGAACAGTGAAAGTAATAATAATACAAAGATTTGCGAAGAAAAACAGCCGAGTCAATTACATTTGATTACGAAAGGTCGTAAGTACAATAGTCGAATTACGTCATTCGATAGCTAAGATTACTATTGATTAATTGGCCTTGAGGTTGTCCAAGGGAGGATAAGAGCTTGAAGATATTTCTTTTGTACTCATAGCTCCGATTTTTTCATCCGGATAGCTACTGCTTTAGCCGTTTGAAAGACTTTAAATCTGACAAGCTTTGGCGAAAATTTAATGACCCGAGAAATAATTGAAAAGGATTGGTTTATACTGGTACTATGACCAGATTTCACTAAATGCGCCAATATCGAACTGTTCACATTCTTCACCGGACCTTTGCTTAGCCACTCTGGGAAGTGTTCACGAGCACGAAAATGTAAATTTCTAGAACTTCGACCAATATAACTTGCTCCACAGAAGCAGTCGAACTGACAAATACAAATTGAGGTGGTCATTCTAGGTAATTCATCTTTTAGTCTCGGTGTCACCATTGGGCGCGGAGAAAACACTAATCGAAGTTCTCCGGCATTAAAAGATTTTTGTATTGTCCTGTGTAATCTCTGAGTTAATATTTCACTAACCAGCATCCCCTCTGTGTTGTAGACGCATGAACAGGGATTTCTTCTTCACCATTTGTATTTCACCTATTTTCACCTTCTTGATCATATATTTAATGATAAACTTTCTCGGGTAACCGTTGTCCCTAAGAACACTAAGCAACGTGTTAAGCTCATCTTCAACTATATCCGCAGAACATATAGTGCATATTCGGTAACTAAAAGTTTTGACCAAGTTTCGTTTGTATTGTAGAGGTGCAAAAGTTAAGGATTTGCGTATACTGCCCAGTCCATGTACCTTTTCTGTTTAAGTTCCTTTTTAACGATCCATCTGCTCTCTTAATCAGGAGAACGTCCAAAAAAGACTATTCGACCATCACCCTCTTCTTCAGATGTAAACTGAATGGCTGGATGCACTTCATTAAATTGCCCAAGAACCTCTTGCTGTGACGTATTATCTTTACAGAGGATGAACGTGTCATCCATATATCTACAGTAAAATGTGAATTTTTGAATAATCTTTTTTAGTGCATCATTTTCTAGTTTGGCTAGAAAAATGTTATCTAGTATAAAGTCCAGTGGTGAACCCATTGCAACACCATCCGTTTGTCTATATATTTCTCCGTTGAACTTGAAATTCACATTCATGGTACATTTCAGTGATATCTCTTTTATAACATTAATAGGAGCTGTAGTTTCAATTTCATTGTCAATCAGTTGTTCACCTATATATTCTACGGTCTCTATGAACGGAACATTCTTGAATAATAATGTTACATTCAAGGACATCACCCTTAACACTATGTTTTACACGTTTTTTTTGTGGAAAGGTTTCAATATAGTTACCAACCATTTAGCTATAGTATGACGAGGAGAGTTATACATGTCTAAAATTGGTCTTAATGGTATTCCCGGTTTGTATACCTTTGGCATTCCATACAATCTTGACAGATAGATTCCCACTGGTTTAATCATTTCATATAAACCCGAGCTTTATCAAAAATCTGGTAAGCTCATTCTATATCTTATTATTGAAATCTTTCTGGTCAGGCAATTTTTTTTGAAATTTTAATTTATCATCTATGATGATACCAATTTTGTCAATATAATCAGTTTTATTAAGAAGAATAACTCTTGAACCTTTATCAGATTTCGTAATCAATAACGTCTCATCATTTAGGAGTAGGCTCATAGCTTCCTTATGCTTCTTTGTAAGAATGTTTTTGTAGCAACAATCTACAAGAGTTGATTTTAAATGTTCTATTTGTTGATCAGAATTTGCTGTTTTTTTTTAAAGAAATAATTAATAGTATTCTGTGAATTATTCATTCTGTAAAGGTATTTGGTTGAGACTATGATTTATGAACGACCTTTGAGCGACGCTGAAGTGACCTTGAGAGTGGCTATCTAATAACTAGGCCCAAATGAGGTTTATAAACGAGTATGAGGAATTAGAATTATGATTTACACTGGATGATTATGGTTAGAAATGTTATATCCCAATAGGAACAATGAATGGAGGTTTTTCGGATCCATTTATGGACCAATACTAAACGTATATTTCTATTGTGTAATTATTAATTAACTAAACTATGCATATTCATATTCCTCTTATTATAAGCTTTAATTTAACCCATAGACTATTGCTATACGATTTACCATTCTTGTGTTATAGCCTGTCTATTAATTACTATCTCCCTCATTCACAGCCACTTTTGGCCAAATATTGAACAAATGTTATTTTCCCTGTTATGGTATGATGTGGTTGGTTTGATTGGTATATAAACCCCGTATTTTGAAATAAATGATTCATATTGCAGAGGCTGAGATTGGTGTTCTGGACTCAACTGGCTGGGCTAGACAGGAAACGAGATCAATAAGGACTCTAGGTTGCTCGCACGTGTTTTATGCGTCACTAGTTCGGTCGACAATTTGCCGCTCTCTGATTGGCGGTATCGTTGCGTTATCCAATAACAGAGCACACAGATTCACAAGATATAAAAAGAAATTAGATTTGGGGTTTTTATCATGAACTGACATCAGCCATAATTCCAAAACTCTATTTATCCGAATGAATGAATGAATTTCGCTCCAAAATCCGAGACCTGATTAGTTCGTCCATAAATTATAATTTCATCGATACTTGTTTTCCAATATTTCACCTAGAACTTTAATTTACTGGCTGCAATCATTCTATCATCCAGTATATCACATAAATATGATTGTTCATAGTACATAAAGCTAAAGAAAATCTATGAGAATCCGAAACTTAATGAAACACAGTTATAAATTGGCTTAATTATAATATCATTTTATAATATAGTAAAGGAGAATACAGGTGAGAACAACCGATTACAGAGTTATTTCATAAAATAGAAGAATCATACTCCATACTTTGAAAGAATAAAGTCCGATTATGTACGCGGATGTCATTCATAAATATAGAATAAATATGCTATAGAGTGATTAATAATGTAAAGGATATAATGAATACAAAATACCAAAAGTGAAATACACTCCATAACGATAATCCATGCTGTAATCTTAGAGTTACTATTATAAAGAATGGATGATAAACACAGTTGGACATACCATACATATGGTATAAATACATCACTAGGTATGAACGTTAGGCAGTCTAATCACACCAGAGTTCAACTTTCATTTATACATTATCTTCGTGTTCAGTATAAACTAGTTGCTATTATTACTGTTTAAATACAAAGTATTTGGAAACATTGTATGATGTATTGAATTGCTTAAGGAAAACTACATTGAATTAAGTACCAGTAATGGTGATAATGAAGTTCAGTCATACTTTTGATCATGTTTAGAAACCTGATGAGCTTTTCAACGGTTAAGTCATATCAATGGTTACGATCATGAGTCACTTGAAGCTAGACCATCATGGAAAACTTGGAAACACTGGACGGCCGTTTCATCCTATTGTGGGACTCCTCAGCGTGAAACCAGTAGGTCCTGGGTTCGAATCTCGCAGGGGGAGAGGTTGTGGATGCGCACTGCTGAGGAGTCCCACGATAGGACGAAACGGCCGTCCAGTGCTTCCAGGTTTTCCATGGTGATCTAGCCTCAACTGACTTATGATCTTAACCATTGAAATTACTATAATATCCACAAAATCCATCTGAGGTTAAATCATATATCATATTCTTCAATAAAATCATGAGATTGATCAAATTTTAGGAATCTTAGGAATTCTAGTTTAGTTGTGTTCATGTTTATTCTGGATGTTTCCAATTCATTGCTGTTGGATTGTGTCAGGTTGTGGTGTGAAAATAGTTAGGCAAATCATGTGTTCTTGATCTGAGTTGTGTTGAAGTCCTACAGAATGGACATTGGGAGAGAATCTAGTGTAGATATTCGTCTAAGGTAAATTAATATC